TAGTAATAGTATAGATCTTTGGAAAAAAGTGATATATGTAATAAATAATTTATATACCGATTAAATTGATCATGTTTGTCTCCATCTATGATTCCCATATAAGATGACAAATTTAGTCTAGAGAGTGGTTTGTAATAAAGTCAACATTGTGCTGAGAACCTTTCAATGTTGCTTTCAAATGCTACCCCTTTCCACTCGGATGGCGCCGCTCTGGCGCCAAAATACATATTAATCTCGCAATTCGCGAGTGGGAGGGGTTATTATTCATTTTGCACACTGAATCGCTATGAAGAACTTCAAGCAATAATGTGAGAAAGTTGACAACATCGCTTGGCCCAGTTACGATTTTGCTACCTTGATCAAACTGGTGCTTCAAGCGCAGTTGCCAGATTGGCAGGGTCACTTTTGTTAGTAATATTGGAATTGTGTGGATAAATGGTTTTCTTTTGATTTGTTAACATTTGTTGCATGTTGTTGTAAACAAGAACTGAAAACAAACAAAAATATTTGTAAAAATTTGTTCATTATCGATGTTTTGAAGTTCTGGTATGTCGTACTAATTGTGTTTATGCAAGAACGCAGTAAATTATTAATAACAGTTGATTGGTTTTTATGAGCACCTTCGATGAAAGAAGTGCAATCCATCAGTATGTACACATTCCTTGATATTCTAATAAACAAAATTTGTAAACAACATGAAAAGATTGATGAATAATCAATTCGACAGTAAATGTGATTTCATAGACGTTGGTCGAAGTCAAAAACTCAACATACTGGGTAGGTAATAAAATTGATAGTTTCCAAGTAGATACTTTTCAAAATTTTTAAAAAGCTTCAAATTTTTCCTCCGAACAGAAAAATAAAATTCAGGACTGTGTGTTAATTTCTAGTAAATAATCCTAGTTATATTTATTTAGCTAATATATAGATTACTATATTATTTGCAACTAAATGAAATATGAATAGCAACTAGTAAAATAAGAATGTATAGAATCATATAACGCCACGTAGTCAAAGTGCTCGGGTATAAACACATATTTCTAGGAAGTCATATAATAAGATAATATTGTTTATATTATCACTTTTTAGAAACAGTTATCAGTTCTTTAGGTTCTCTATGTTTTAAGCACTCAAGTCTAAGTACAAAGTGCTCTAAAATCCAAGAAAAGCACTAATGTCAGCTTAAGTGGTGGGGATTAGGCTACTCTGACAAAAAATTGATACCAGGTAATTTAAATTTTAAACGATATTTATATATGGTAAAATACTTTCTTATATCAATAAATCACCCACAACGGTTTTAAAAATAGTTTTTTAACTTCTCGTAGGGCAAGTTATAGTAATCGCAAAAAAATCGAAAATATATATCTATACGTTTCAAAGGTTTCTGAATATTTTGGCATACCTTACAAAAAATGGATGTATGTGTGTGTGTATGTGTGTGAGTGTGTGCGCGTGTGTGTGTGCGGATACAAATTTTCGTCGACGATTTCGGGAACACCGATCAACCGATTTGAATAATTCAAAAAACATTCGATTCGTATTGATAAGAAAAGGTGTTGATTAGTTTTTAGCGAAGGCAGGTCTAGCCGTTCCGAAGATACGCGACAAAAAGTGCCAAAAACGGTAACTCAGTTTGTAAGAGAACGGAGCGTCTGATTCGAATAATTCATAAAACATTTTACTTGTATTGACAGCATGAATAATTGATCAAATTTTCATGAAGGCAGGTCTAGCAGTTTTAGAGATCTAATGAAAAAAGTAAAAAAATGCTATTTGGCGGTCAAAAATGATCATTAGACATATGCACATCAAATTATCAGATATTTTATAGAGATTTTATAGCGGCACTTGCGCGCTTTGACATTTCGTCTCTATGCAGTTCAAGCAATATGATTGCTTTGAAAAAAAGTTCAGAATTTCCAAAATATGTCAAAATGAAGAAAACATTTTTCTTTTTAAAAAAATTTTGTTTCCAAAAAAAAAAAAAATTTTTTTTAAAAAAGTAATTTTTTGTCAAATTTATAGTTACTGAAAAATCTAATTTTTTCGAAGTAAAATTTTTTCAAAAATATTAATTGTTTTTTAAAAAAAAAAAATTTTTGGTACGGGATGTTCCAGCAATTTGCCTTAAGGCAAGATGCCTTAATTGCCTTAAGACTTACAGCTAGTAAAACATTTAATTTAGAAGAGGGGTTTTACTCCTTTTAGGATATGATAAACTAAATTTCATTTATATGTGTGAGTGCAAATTATGTGATTCCCCGATCGAAATTCATAGGAATTTCTTGCGTCATATGCAGAGGATCACGTACGCATTAGGAAAAAGTTCATCGATCCTATTTTTGATTATAATACTTTTGTTACTTGATATGAGTTTAATACAATGTAACGACAGTTCTTGGGATGAATACAATGTTGAGAAACTGAGAATCGGATACTAATCGAATAATTAGTACATGCTAACATTTCTATGGGTTACGAACCAATGTTTATCTATCGGACTGCTACACGGCAAAAATGTTCAAAAAGAAAATTCAGTTTTTCAAAAAATTTAAAGTTTTTTTTACAAATTTTAGGTACGAGAAGTTTTGGCATTTTTAGTTTTCGGTGAGAAAAGTTCTAGCAATTTGCCTTAAAACACCACTAATTTTAATATTCAATTATCGCATTATTTTGTTTATATCATGTCTTGGAATATATTATGTAATATTTTTATTTAATAAATCTGTACCAGAGGATGATATACAGTTGCCGATCATTCCGCAATGAAATAAGATACGATGTTAAATTTAGTAATGAGAATTGTCTCCTAGGAAGTTTCTCACAAGTAATCAAATTCATATGTATGATTAAATTTCGCACACCCGGCACATATAAAAAATACATAAATATATATACATATATATATATATATATATATATATATATATATTTAGATATTATCACTTCTTTTTAAAAAAATTAAACTATTAATTTAAAAATGTAATACTTCATCAAACACTAATAAAATATGCTTTGTACACAAAACACACTTTTAATTTCTCACCGACAACTGATTGAAAAAAAATGTTTGTAGAATCAATTTTCATAAAGATTATTCTACAAACACTAAACATCAGAATAGGTATAAAGTAATCAAAAAAAACAATTCAAATTTTTATTTCACAATCAAACAAGGTTAACATCACAAGCACACACTATAAAAACACTAATTGTAAAAAAAATCTAGTAAAATGGATACATGATTTCTGGTTGTTCAATATAAAATCTATCAGAGTATCAATTATATTTTTTAGGTGAGTTTATGAATCAATTTATAGTGAGTGTGTTTTTGTATGTTTTTTCTTTGTAAAAAGTAAAGAGGGTATTCTTTCAGATTTTGAATATATAAAGTGTAAAATGTATGAAGAATTTTTTGATTTGTTTTTAAAAATTCAAGAAGGACATCCCAGTTCCCCAAAACTTACAAATTATGTAATAAAAAATTATTAAAATTAAATAATTATTAAATAAAAAATTAAATATATTATATTTCAATTATTTCATTATTATAATAGAATAAACTGCTAGTTGACTGATTTAACTATTGAGTCACTTCAAAATTAATAAAATTATAGAAAACGATATTTGATCAGAAAAATCAAGAATAAATTGGAAATTGACCCTAAGAGTCAAAAACCAAAATAATAAAAAAGTGAGCAATAAAATATGAGGTTAAATATTGAGTGATATTTCACTATTTTGATATTAATCAAATTTGAATAACTGTCAAAAATAAAAAAAGAAGAAGTACTTTGTTTATTGATACAGAAAAAATTTAAATGAATAAAACAAGATTTTGCAAATCTTCTATTTAAGAAAAATGTGCTGTGTTTTTTTTAAAATATAATGTAATTAATAAAGTTTGTTTTAAATGAGTTTGTTTTAAATGAGTTTGTTCAAAAATGTTTCATTATAGTTTTATATTTTAATATTATTTAAATTATTAATATTTTGTTGTTATTTTGTTTATTAGTTGTTTTCTATTATTAACTTCCCGTAGGGTAAGTTATAGTAATCGCAAAAAATCGAAAATGAAAATTTTTATATATCTTTACGTTTCAGAGGTTTCTGAATATTTTGGCATACTTTATAATTAAAAAAAATGGATGTATGTGTGTGCATGTGTGTATATGTGTGTGTATGAATGTGTGTGTGCGGATACAAATTTTTGTCGACGATTTCGGGAGCTCCAATCAACCGATTTAAATAATTCAAAAAACATACGATTCGTATTGATAAGGAGACGTGCTGATTAGTTTTTGGCGAAAGCAGGTCTAGCCGTTCCGAAGATACGGGGCAAAAAGTGCCAAAAACGGTAATTCAGTTTTTAAGAAAACGGATCACCGATTTTATTAATTCAAAAAATATTTTACTTGTATTGACAAGATGAAGAACTGATTGGGAAGGCAGGTCTAGCGATTGTGGACTCACAATAAAAATAAGTTAAACAGAAATGCCATTTGGCGGTGAAAAATGTTCATTGGACATATGCACATCAAATTATCAGATATTTTCTAGAGATTATAGTAATGTTTACAAATTTTGTGTAAATTTTTTTGGGTTTTGTACCAAGATTTTTAATTACGGTACGGGAAGTTCCAGCAATTTGCCTTAAGGCACGATGCCATGCGTCCTACTAGTTTTGGTTTAGTGTCGAAACATGTAAATAATTGTCTATATATAAAGCTATCCGAGAATTAGAAATGCAGAACATTATTTAAAATAAAAATATCATTTACTACCTAATCAATATTACTCTATGAATGAATTTTTATGTTAATCATGTGATTATATAATAGTTTATTTATAATTTATATGATGAATAGTGTTAGACATGTGTGTGTATTATATATGTTATTTTTATGATATAGTGCTAGAATGTGTCACAAATTATATCATTTTAAAATAATAAATAATATATCTACTTCAATAGTTTACATTATTTTTTTCCATACCTTATCATCACGTTCCTTACTCGTATAAAATTTGGGCATCCATCCTTGAGAAATCTTTGATCTCATTTCCAATCGCTTCGCATACAACTTTAACAAAATTATAAAATTAAACATTATTTTAAAAGAATCATAGTAATATTTTTAATGCATCTTATACTAACCTCTTCAATTCTATGATCGAATTGTGCAATGATATCCGCCAGAAATTGCAGGGCATCTTTAGTAAAAATGCAATCATATTGGCGTCTTAAGTCCCTTGGGCAAGGATATAGTGTGACACCAGAAACTTCCAAAAACATCTGCAAAAATTATAAAACAAACTTAAAAAATGACGTACAAAGATGTTTTTTTAAAAAATGCTTTGATTATTCTTATAGACAGAATTTGTTTATAAAGATACCGATACGTACACCTACCAAAATTATAAATCTATAATAAGATAATGAGGAATAAGAAAAGCTTTCTGAAAAATTATTTACAGTTACAGTTTGAAATTTTTTATTGCATTATATGGGATATGAAAATATATATATATAATTATGCACATGGTTTTCTACCGTAAGGCAATTTTATATTTCCATTTTTTTTTTAATTTCATTAAATGAACATAATTAAAATAATAAGGTCTATGTGTAACAAAAAGAAAAACTTTAGCAATTTTCCAAAATAAAATTACATCGGCGTTTTTTTTTTTAAAATAAAAGGCATAATAAAATAATCATATAAGGATAAGCAACATAAGGAAGTAGAAAAAAAATTGCAAGATAATACATTGTCATAGACAATACTTGGTTGATACAGGGTTATATCCAAAATGTTTTTTTTTTTTGCCACACTGAGTCGATTAGGCAATATTTTGTCATGGTTTGTTTTTTAAAAAAGCATAATAAAATGATCACCAACGTATAAAGTGCGCGTAAGGTTCACACGCGATTGAAGTAAAACTTATTTGCTACTATACAAGATGGCATTTAAGTAAAAATAAATACATCATATAACAATTTTGAATAATGTTTATTAGTAATATGGTAACACTCGTGATGCATACATATGCCGATTTCCTCGTTGATATCGGAACGCATACAACGTTGATGCCGGTACGCATACAACGACAGATCTCTATTTACATACACGACGATTTGATCGAATGATTTCATCAAAAGCGAAGGACGTACAATTCTGCCGTAATTGCATGCATGAAAATGCATTTCCGTTGCATTTGTACGGATTTACACTCTAGTCACGCCTAAAGAAGTTTTACTTAAAAAAAAATTACAAGACGATGCATTGTCATAGACAATACTTGGTTGATACAAAGTTATATTCAAAATATTTTTTTTGCCGCTCTGATTCGATCAGGCAACAGTTTGGCCAATATACCATGGTCATACCGAACTATTTCGCGTGTATATCGGCCAAGGGCCTGGTTATTGAAAAATGATTTTTAACGAATAAATTTGTATATAATATATTGTACTACTAAAAGGGTGCACTAATAACTGTGTATTTATTAATTTAAAGAAATTACAAAAACTGACAATGTACTATAGATGTTTTATATAAGAGACATATAACTGAGATGGGAACGAACAAAAGTTAATATACGAGAATATGTGTGTTCGTAGCGCAATGGTAAGTGCCTCGGCCTGTTGTTTCAAGATTCAAGTACAAATATGTAATGGTATGCGTGCCCACTTGAAAATACAGACCCAAATATATTTCGAAGTAAAAATACCCTTCTCAGGCATTGCTGCAAAATGTCACATCACACTTTTGAAGCATGTAAAGCAGTGGTTTCCAACCTTTAAAATTGTTACACCCTTAACTTTTTGATTGATCTTATTTCCTAAATGCACAATCGATATTACAATTCATTTGAAAGGCTACAAAATAATAAACAAAAATATGTAAAATTTTATTCTAACGTAATAGAGAACCACAGGTTGGCAATCTCTTGAAGTAAAAATTTTGTCATATAGAAAAAGTTTAGTATACAATGTCCCTTTTCGGCCGACTATTGTAAATTCATCAAATTTATTAAATGTCCATAACTGGACAGTTGTAAATAAAAGATATAATAATAAAAAAAAATAGAAAAAGGACATCCATTGAGTTGTGATAAAGCCATATATTAGAAAATACATTAGAACAGCTCATAGAACACTGAGAATAGTTTTGATATTACTGACATGAATATTTACAAAAATAAATTTATAAAAACCATAAAGATTAATAATTGTAAAATATTAGAACCACTGGACTGAAAGGAATGGGAAGAAGAAGAATGCAGATGATTGACGACTTACGCCAGAAGAGAAAATACAGGGAACTGAAATCCGACGCGCAGGATCAGGAAGCATGGAAGCATGGAAAGGAAAATATTTTTTTTATTTTATTTTTTTTTTTATTATTTTTATGTTAATTTTGCTAACTATTAATCTACTTTGGTTTTTTTTATGGAAAGGAAAATATATAAAAAAATGTGTAAAAAGGGGGATAGTGGTAATGGGAATGATAGACAACGAATGATAAAGAAATCATTTATTTGCACACCATGTACCTGCCTTCGGACAGACTACTATTTGTTATCAGTAACACGTATATTAGAAAGAGCTTTATAGCTTCAACAATAAGGCTACATAAAATAACAGCATTCTTGTTATAAACTAAATACAACATTCTTGTAAACACCATAACGCAATAGAATTCTAGGTACATTATATTCTCAAAAATAAAATTTTAAGTAATTCGCAACTGGTGTACATATGGCTTGTCTTTGTCGACCACGTGGCGCAAGAAAAGGGCATTTACCACTTCATACACATAAAAAAATATGATCCCACATGTTGCCAAAGTCCTCGAATTACATTTCGTTCTGGGTCCACTATTTTTGACCATTGAAATGGTCAAAGTTTATTGGAAAAAGCATATGATTTATAGCTCCAGTAAAAAAAAAAACGGATTGTTGTGAAAATGAATCTGAATTACACAAGTTGTTGAACAAAATATTTGAAAACATAAAATTTTTATATGAATTGTCAAAATGTACAAATGTTAATAAGATAAATTATTAATAATTTACATACTTTTGTCGTAATCGTAAGTGACAATATATAATTTGAATTAAAATATACTCCTACTTTGTATGCATTTACTTCATATACTCGTATGTGTACGTAGAGTAAGCCACATTGAAGAAGTATTATATGTATGTAAGTTAAATTAAAATTTAAGATTTAAGTAAAAAATTGCAATGATGATGAATAGAATAAACTTGTTAACAGAAATATTTAAAAATATACCACTATTTTTTCACTATTTTTAACTAAGAACTCATACCTCAATTCAAATTTAAATTTAACGTATTCCTATATCAAATTTACACATTAATATTGCAATTAAAATCAGATTTGCATTTTTCAATATAATAAAAATAAAGTTTAAATTAAAAATTCATTTTTTTAGTTCAACTAGATCATATTAGAGAAGTCTTCTAAAATTTTTCGCACTCAAACGCATATGCAGATTTTTTTTTTTTTAATTTACTTATAAATTACAATCTATCTGAATAGAAAAACATGACAAATGACAGAATTTTAAAAGGAAAACCCAGTGGTTTACCTTTTATTAATGTACTAAATTATATTTTAATTAAATTTTGGTATATGTGCAGAATTAATGTTTTACTTTTTCTAACTATTTTTACAGTATTGTTGGCAGATATAAAAAATATGGGGGGCTCTATATAATTTTATTAAATCTAGTGAAATAAAATTATAAATATTGCATAATAACCGTATAGAATAATGAATTTAATTGAAAATGGCTAATTGACTTGTTTACAAAGACAATAATAGTAAAAATATTAATTAAAAAAAAGTTTACTTATCGTCCAAATGTTGCTTTCCCCAATATAATCGACAAAAGATATTAAAAAACAAAGACAATAATAATAAAAATATTAATTAAAAAAAATTTTCACTGATCGTCCAAATTTTGCTTTCCACAATATAATCGACAAAGAATATTAAAAAAACAAAGTCAATAATAATAAAAATATTAATTAAAAACAAAGTTCTACTTATCGTCCAAATTTTGCTTTTCACAAAATAATAGGCAAAAAATATTTAAAAAAAATTAATTTACCTTATAATTAAAAAAAAAATTACGTTATAATAAAAAAAATTACATTATATTTTCCTAAAAATTTCTACAAGTTTACTCACCGAATGGAAAAAAAAACTTGTTCATATGATATATCAATTGTATACAAAGTAATACGTAAGAGCTATTAATGACGTCGTTGTTTACATTATCTATTACACTTATAAATGAATACAATTGCAAAACTAAACAAATATTTTTAGTAAAATCAGTAGAACATGTTCAATAATAATGATTTTATTGTAATATTAATTGATTATAATCGTTTAGCATTCAGATTATTAAATATTGCAGTTATGGGTTTTGGGTGATCACCAAATTCATCAATCAATTCAGATCATTTGCCATTAGTAGGTACCATTTATTGGAAATAGTTAAAATCAATCACGGATTACTTTTACTGAAATATTTTATATGTACATGTAAGATAATAAGAATAGTTTTTGATGTAAAGCAAATTAAAAAAATAATTTTAATTATATTTATTTATAGAAACAGAAATAAATGTAAAATACATGTACTCAGGGTAGAAAACCGTGTGCAGAATTATATATATATATGTATCATATTCCACATAATGCAATAAAAGACTGTAAAAAACTGTAGAAACAACAAAATTTTATTTGCCATATTTTGAGAAATTTTAGGTTTAGCTAATTGTATCATAACCTCTTCAAAATAAATTGTAGCACAAATTTTGTTCACAATACTTTTAAAAATAATTGAGCACAATCACAAAATTTAATTTTAATATATCAAAATTGAAAAGGCTTACTACTTGCTAACCTTTTAGATTTAATGTTTAATATTTCATATATCTTCAAAATTACTCAATGTCTTCCTTTTTGTAAAGACAGATTGTAATTCAATAAAGAGAATAAAAAAAAAAACAAATTGATCGCAATGCATTAAAACTAAATAGACCCCTTCAGAACTTCTATTGAAAAATCATTGAATTTTTTTTTGAAGGTATGCACTTTTTGTATTTATAAGCCATAAACAAACACTAGTAATTGATATTTATGTAAACCACTATTACACAAAGAAACACATATCCAACTTATACTATTTACTACAACTTTTAACATTTATGACCACTTACAATAAAATTTATTATTTGTCACAAAACTGTTTAAAAATCTGTCAACTGTATTAGCATTATACAAGTGCAAGTAGCCTATTCAATTCAGTATGTTGTACTGATAATTTCCATCAAGATGTTTTGTAACATAATGACCTTTGTATTATTTATTATTGTATCGGAATGAACGCAGTGCCGCTGCGAAAAATATATACAGGATGATGTCAATTAAAATATTTCCATAATTAGATAGAACAAATATTTTTATTATTATCTTGCATATTAAGGCTTTAGCATATATGCAGTCCATAATTTTATTTACATGCAAAAAATTATTGCAAAAGCAACAATGATCATAGTGGAGAGTTCAGGTAAACTAATCAGGAGTATTTGTAGGAACCCTTTTTCCTGAAGAAGTTTATGATTTCATAAAAAAAATAAGATTTGCTAATTTTATGTTTTCTCGACATTTCAAGACTCAAATGAGACCAAATTTGAAAAATGTATGTATGTCTGTGTTAAATTTTAAAAATTCATCATAGTTTGAAAACATATTGTAGTCATTTATGCCAAAAGTTGATTTTGAGGTGTGATAACTGATAAATCAAAACATTTGTTTCAAACATTACCAATTCAATAAAATCTGGAATAATAAGCTACAATTTTAGGACATAAGCACTTGTCTGTGCACTATATTTAATATAATTACAGAGAATTTTAATATTTTTGTGAAAATTCAATTGGTTTTGAAGATAATTGAACCACAACATTTTAAAACTTAAATGCAGCCTGTGTGTAAAAAAAAGTTTATCATTTTTGGAATAAATCCAAGTAGTGGTAAGACAGTCCAAAATTTACTATTAGTTATTTTCAAAGTATTATTATAAAAATAGGTTGATTATGTTTGGAATAAGCAGTGGCGAGACAGTCCAAAATATTATTATTATACTATTAGTTATTTTCAAAGTATTTTTATAAAAAAAGTTGCTTATTCTTGGAATAAATCAAAGCAGTGATAAGACAGTCCAAAGTATACTATTAGTTATTTTCAAAGTATTTTTTACCCTTTTTCATTATACAATTAATTTTTTTTTAAATACGAAAAAACTACCTAGTAATTCAAAAAACAAACTTTCATAAAAAATACATACATATAAGAAAAATATACCTTATCTGTGGAATGATAAAAAAGTATCAAGACGCTAAGTAACGTCATTGGAAACAACTAGCTATGCCTTAAGGAAATTGCTTTAAACTTTAAAAAATTGTAGAAAATTACCAAAAATTCACATATAATATATATGAACATAAATGTCATATATTCTTCAATGCTCACAAATAAATACAAAAATTGCATAACATTAGCCTGTCTTCGTTCTAAAAAGTATACACAACATCATGTTTACAATGCAGGTACATTTTTGGCAGAATGCAACGTCGAGTTGCTTCTAGAATTTGGAAGTTGATATGGTGTCAACTTAGTAATTAGTTCAAGACTAATTAATTTAAAGTAAATAAACTAGTAGTGCATGGTATCATTCCTCAAGGCGAATTGCTCGTACCAAAAATTAAAATTAATAAAAAAAAATCAATTATCTTTTGGAACTCTGAAAAAATCTATTGTTGAGATATTTAAAATTTGAAAAAATGGACTTAATAGAAGTATTTTGTAAATCTTAAATAATAATGTATCTTTGAAAACACTTAGCTACTCAACAGCACCTCATTACATCTACGGTGTATATGCTAAAAGCATGGATAATTATTCCAAATTTTAATCAAATTTTATTATTAAACCACTTCACATATTTATAAAAAAACAATATTTATGTGCGGAAAAATCACTCCGAATACCTCGTAGATGTCAATAGTAAAGCCACGTCAGAATACTTCTATATCATTCTTATAAATGAAATAACGAAGACATCATAAAAATTATATCAATAGTCTAAAATTTTATTTCATTTGTAACATCACATATTCAAATTATACAAAATTTATTCTAATAATTTTTCAATTTAACATTTATTGATCATTTTCTCATAAATTGCCTGATCGTCTGTGCTGATCACCTTGAGGGGCTCATTAGGGTCCAATGGCATCATTGCAACAAGTTGCTTCGGATTTTCCTTCAAAGTAAAATATTTTTACATAGAGTTATATTTGATAAACTATTATTTTTTTAAAACAATATCGTTTATTAGTGTAACACACTCAATATTAAATTTGCACTGATGACCACATAAAATTGTAAGTCCGAACGAACGTATGGCAGAGTTTCAACATTATTTGATTATTATATAACTTGTAACAGACTTGAAGATTTTTTGCCCACAACTCAGTAAAATTAAAAGTATAATATATGTAGTAATGACAATTTCTTAAAAAGTTATGAATTCAGAAGGAGCAGTATATATGTGGTTCTTCTATTACAAGATAAATCTAATAAAAATATAATCATATAACATTTTTAGCAACTCAAAATTCACTTTTTAGAAAACTAAAATTTCCAATTGAAACGCGTCTTTAACGTGAAATGTCTAACTCAACTCATGTTAGGAGTTTGACTTCAATGAACAAAACACTTTTGGTCTCCGATTAAATAACAAATATGTCTTTAACACAACCTTTTGCAAGTCAAATTAGAAGTAACTTTATTAATATATTTATTTTGTAATTAGAAGTAACTTAATAAATATATCTATTTTGTTATTTAAATAACCTTTTGATACGTAACGTATGCGTAAATATTTTTAACAAGATACGCATCGGACTGTAAGTCCTCACCACAAAATTCTTAAAAAATTTTAAATAGAAGTGTTATATGTGGAAAATTTTATAAGAAGTGAATTATTTGTTATCTGTATTTGATCTACACCATTGTAAAAAAAACAAACTATTAAGAGTACAATATTCGGCATTTTGAAGACGACGCAATGGTAATGGCGGCAAAATTTGTTGTTGGCACGTGCATGTAACAAAAGGTTAAATAAATACAAAACAATGCTTGTAAAAAAATATATGCTATCTAAATATTATATACTCACAATTATTCTCTGAACTCGAACAAAAAAATGAAATAATTAACTCACTCACTAAACTAATTATAAAAATACAAAAATTAACTCACTAAAACTTTCCCGGTTACTTAGGCATCTCTCGGCCACGCAGCATTATGACCCGGGCGTGTATTGACGCCCGGGTCAAGCGCCATGTAGTGCCTACCAGATGTAAGCACCAAATGAAAGAAGAATTGCAATCATTGGAATAATATCGACATCCATAGATCAACAATGCGTTATTGTTAAGATAGGAACTTGTAAACAAACCATTTGAAGTTGTATCAAAATATCGATTATATACCGATAAACAATTGCCCTCCGGTGGTGTATTGGTTTTTATTTCCTATCTACAATATTTTTTGAATGCACTTTGGATACAGAGTTGAGGGTGTCTTGTAACCTTGGCGCGCAAATGATTGTGTATGAATGAATATTATGTAAATATCGTAAATTTAATCATGATTTGATGTACCTACGACTTTGTTCACGCAGAATTTAACAAAAATATTAAGATTTTTTGCATTTTTGTGCTAAATGCTATTGCTATGAACAATATTTGCTGTATAATTAATTTCTTAGAATGAATCAACAACCATTTTGGCTTTTCTGGTATTTTCAAAAAGTTGACTTTCTTTCAATCATTTCTAATCATTTGAGAAATAAAAATCTAAATTATAATTATTTATTTTAAGAGGAAATATGTATAATGTTACTAATTAAATGAAGTAATCTGTAAGAAATTACTGGCAGGATTGCGTCTATCACGTACTTAGTCCTTGATATTGTAACTATCTAGATTAATGGTAACATTTTTTACACAACTAGAAAAGTTATGCAGACTGCCAGTTAGGTAACACAGATATAAAAGAATTATTTAGATAATTAATAAGTAATTTCTGTGAATGATGCACAATTCCATAAATTTGAGTTGGCAAGATTTTTGCTAGAAAAAGGACAAAAATTCATAGTTAGTGAATAGTAAACTAATCACTAAAGCGACCAATAATAGCTTCTTTATCTTCGATCAAATACAAGCAAATTACTCAAAATTTATAATTCAGAGATGAAAGTAAAAATCAATTTGAATCAATGCTACCTGTTGTGATATAGAATTAATCAATTATGAAGCAATGGCTGTAGCGACTCAGGCGGATATATTACTTGATATAAATTTAAAAATGGCGATTTTGATTTTGCATATTACCAGTGATATCAGTTTCCGGCAATTCTGAATCAAATCAAAATGATACGATGTTGAAGATTGATACATGATTGCTATATGTTTACATTACTTAGTAAAAACTTGAATTGATACTAATTTACAAAGTTTTTTTAATTTCATATAATTTTTTCATTAATTTATTTTTGAGTACAAGCGACTGCCCATTACATTCTTAATAATCAAATATTGACCTGTGATTTAGTTGGGTTAAGAAGTTCAAGGAATCTAATTTTTTAGAAAGAAGGATTAATAATGGAAGTACTGTTTATAGACAGGATGCATTACAACATAAAGGATTATTTGATACTTCAAAATAGTGCAATTAAAGGGATTAGGTTTTATTATTTCTATTCTGTATAAAGATTAGTAAAATATATTTATATAATTATTCATTAGACCAGGGTTGAGCATGAGGCGTTAACACTAAGGTGACTATATTTTTTCAAGTCAATAATGTTAATTTTCGTAAAATTGAACTTAAAAGTTCAAAATTATGCATTTGAGAGGCTAATTTAAACCGCCTTTTTCATATGGGCATACTATTTGTACATAACATTGTCAGACATGTAATTTTATTATCAATTAAGAGCAAAGATTCAATTTGAACCTATACTTTTCGAAAACCAGAACAAAACATCTAAATCCGGGACAAATATTGCTTTTAGAAAAACCCGAGACATAAGGTGAAAATATGGGACTGTCCCGACTAAACCGGGATGTATGGTCACCTAAGTTAACACTCATATAATTGTTTGATTGATACTGATCTTACTTAGTTGAAATTTGAGTTGATACTAATTTACGAATTATTTATAATCATATATAATTTTTTAATTGGGTCATTTTTGGGTACAAGCGACATTCTTAACCAATCAAATATAGACCTGTAATTTATATTATTGTATATATAAGTAAATTATAAATTATATATTTAAAATAGCATTAAAAATATGTATAATATTTAAAAACAGTAATGTAATTAATGTCATACTTCAAATATGATATGATCGGTTTGTGATTGTAATTAGCATTTAGAAATGAACGTTTATTAGAGAAGTAAAGCAATTTTTGATTAATAAATTCTATAATATTCGTTCACACAGTGGATTATGTTAAACAACGCCTAAACAAATATTGTTTTCTCAACTTCACTCTTCTTGTAATTGTGTTTGAAGAATTTCATTTAATTAAAATTAACATACCTTCATTGACTGCTCATATCTTTTTTACGTTTTCGCTGGCGTTATAATCTCATTCTTTGAACCGTTGTAATATTTGTCTTGCCTGAAAAATATTTTTCTCTTTAATAACTTCAAAGATTTATAGAAACTACGAATAATATAGAAATAATTTCTAATCAATAAACTTGCTAGTCATTAATGTTATTAATCAATATTTTCAAGGAACAGGGTAAATTTTTCTTCTGATTCATGCATTTTTCAGTAAATCAAGATTTGTACTACGATGTAACTTTAAAATGTGTATTTATCTATGCAGATTTCCTTTTAGATATTGGTACGCATACAACGTTGACACCGGTATGCATACAACGACAGATCTCTATTCACATACACGACGGTTAATCACAATCGACTCGTATAGAAATGATATCGTCGAGAGCGAATGACGAATCATTGGCACTCGACTCTTATCTTATCTGACGTAACGCGCTTCCCTTGCATTTGTACGGATTTACACCCTACTCGCCCATGAAGAAGTTTTACTTCAAAAATATTTTTTTAAATTTTATTTATTTATTTACTCTGTAGACTATTGGCCACTTACTAAACTAATTCACACAACTATAATCATATATTTGAATATATACATTTACACCCATACACACACATATATAAATATGCGCATACACACCTATATAAACCAATTTTTAACAATACTTGTTGAATCCCTATACCATTATTCTTGTTTCGTAAGAGATTATTGGACACTTCAAAATAGAGCAATATATGAAGTATTATATAGTATGAAGAGTATTAAATATCTATATAATTTCATTACATCAGGGTTAAACCTTATTGATTACAATATATATCATCGAATCCAATGTGATCTGAGCCTAACAACTGGTGCAATATGTATTTCATATAATAAAAAACAAACTATAACACGCGCCAAAGCCACTTCCATCGACTTTGCCGAAGACGATGTGGAGATTCATAGAAATAATTTACCAGGTGGTAGGAAAGAGGTAAGAGCACGGCGAAGAACACGGTTGATGTACCTGGGCTAAATTCAACACTAACATTTCTATCAAGAAACGCGGCGCGGATACATGGTACCGCGAAATACAAAATTGTAATTAGACGAAAATTTTTAGAAATATCTAAATAGGTAAAGAAAAGTGCGTGAGTGGATTGGATTGAGAATTTATTGTGTTTTGGTAACTATTGTGATTTTTTTAAATCTTTGTTTTAGCAAAGATTTAAAAAAAAATTGGACGAGATTAGTGAAATTATTTTGGATTATAGTGGGTTGTGGTGAAGGATTATTTTGGTTTGGGTGAAGTAAGATTTACGAAATTTATTGGTAAGTCAAAAAAAAAAAATATTTATTCTATTTTATCTTATTTTCTTTTCATTTTTGCTTTATTGTTACTTCATTTGTTTGATGATTTTTCATTATTTTGATTATGGATTTAGACTATTAGTAAAGCTTCTTAAAAGTCACCTAAATTACGAACATCTTTTCAATCAATACAAAAAAATTGATACCAATGGGTAAACTCTATTTTGATCTTAACATTACATATTGTATTTTAAAAACATATTGTAATTGCATCTTGAAGAATAAAAAAAAAAATATTTTATATAGGGTTGGTCAGATAACTTTTTTTTTTTGAAAATGCTATATATAAACTACTGAATATTTTCTCAATCTAAATCTTTTCTATTTGAAAGTGCAATCCTTCTGGTTAATAATCGGAAATAATTTCATTGAAGTGGCTGTCTAACTTTTAAATGGCTGTCAAAAAATTCTAAATTGCTACCAATAAAAAAAAGTTATATGGCGGACCCTATATACAAATTCTATTGAGCAAAACGTAAGATTTCTCACAATATGCACAATATAATTTTGTTTTGCTGATATAATTTATAATGAAAATTTAGTATATTTTCTCTATAATAAATTATATGAATCTAATGATCAATTGAATCAACTAATCAAAATTATTCAAAAACTCAATAAATGTTCAATTTTCATAGTATTTTTTTTTCAATATCAATAGTATTTTTCTCAATTTCACATAGTATTTTTTTTTCAATATTTACGATTTAAAATTTTAATAATACTTATTCTATCATTTCCAATTGTGGATATAAACAATTCTATAATCAACTCGAAGTCAACCACCAAATTTAATAAAAATTTAATAAAAGTTTAGAAAGAGTTTAATGGCTGTATACATGCAAAACCCTATATATATATATATATATATATATATATATATATATATATATACTTCACAAATCATATTTTTTTTTCACAAACTCTATAATGCCGACGATTTCATCATCTGGACTACTTGTGAATAAGTGGATATATTTTAATTTTTATTAATTGTTGTTTATTCCTAAAAGCTTACCCTATACAATAAAAAATAAACGTTTTTATTTTTTTACATTTAATTAATATGTGCTAAAAATTTATTTTTATTATATAGAGGTTTAGAGTAAAAACCATCAATATTATTCAATTTGTCAAAGTATTACCAGATACAATTTGATTAATACCTACAATATCAGTGCATTTCTGACTAAAAATATGAAATTACTTCTAAATTCACATTCTAAGCCATTTATTGATGGACATTATAATTTTAATAAAATAAATAACGTAAGTTTGATTATGATTTAGTAATTTCTAAGGCTTTATTCATTTTAGCAACACAATAAATTTCAAATAGCTTTCTCTTCATTTAA